CCCCATAAATGACATGCATTTTCAACTTTTGTAAAATAATTTCTATCCAAGTTCGTGAAGTGAGATTGAAATTCACACATTGCCCATAGAGGGCGCTAGAATCAAACAGTTGTTCACCTCAAATGTTATGGCGCACAAAGCCATAAGAGAATGGTTACTATAGTAATGGTACCATTGTTATTATGGTTTGTTCTATTTTTTCTATTATGTATTTTTTTCCATTCTAATTAAGTGGATGTTCAATTTTATATATACATAGATTAGAGACACCATTTTACTCCCAAGATATGAATATAAAATTATCCCGTTTAATATTAAACAGGCTAAGAAATAGCTAAAAATACTAAACTATCAAAATTCTGAAGTCCAGGCAGGTAGAATAAATGTTGCAGTTTTACAGACTATAGAACTAAAATTAGAATATTTTTAAATTACATCATTTTGATTGTACGTCATTTGAATCCATTTTGGTCCAGTGGAACAAGATGGTGATTACTTTGAGGTATACCAGCAAAAAACAAACTAACTGGTGTTGTATGACATAAACTCACAGTCCATCTGCTTGTTATATTCGTATTGCATACATGTCTTCAATTGCAGCTGTCCTTAAAGGAAAATATATTGATGGGAAAATAAATTTCTTTTTAGGAATTAGCAGGTGTTGTTGTTACGGTGAGCTTACATTGTCCAATTATAAAACAGACTGCTATATAGTGAAATGAACATGTTTGAGTTAGATGTGTCCATCATTCCCAAATGTGAAAATACTAAAACCTCACACTTGTGTAATGAGTGCAGAAAAAATTACAGAAGTGTCAGATTTTTTTCAATTAATTTTTTTTTTTTTTTTTAAATATTATGTTTAGTTTTTATTATGACACCATATTTGTGACATTTTAGGGACTACTTTATTGCACACTTTTATAATGGTGCTATATGTCACCTGATCACTCAAGTGTATTGATATGTAAAAAGTAGTGCCATAGATAACTGAAAATGGCGGAATAAACAAGAAGTCAAACATGAAAGGTCTCTGGTTTTTTTGTGTGTTCCTTGAGTCAACACATCACAATATTATACACAGTATTTTCAAATTCAAACAATCATCATAAATGTCTTTTATCTTTGAGGAAATTTGAAATGACTTACTGAAATTTGTTGCTCACTCAATCCGAAAAAATTTCATTTAGTTTACAAGTTTGCGTCTTTCTTTTTTCATTTCACATACGAACAAAAATACTAAATTGCAGCTGTCTACCAATAAGCTTGGTTTATATATAGCAATATTATGTGAACATAATAGTACTGCCTATTAGTAGTGCATTTGCTTATATGAATGATATGTGTCTGTGGTTAAAAGTCATATTTTAAAAACAATAAAAATCTTCAATAGAAATACATATAATCCCCAAAATCACATTTTTTTTATATACTGAATCATTAAGTGAATCATTACATCTTTTGACCATCATTTACTTGAGCATCTGTACTACTAATTGTGTAAATATGATATGTATGTATTAAAGGTAGTACAATATTCATATCATTTACACTGTACATAAAATAGACATAATGTCACTTGATTATATTGAAATTCATGAATTTAAAATTAAAGCAATGAGTTTAAACTATAAACTTGTTATAATGAACACTTTTATAATGAATTTCTTCATATGAATATAACACATTGCAGGTCTCCTTGCTCACAACAAACCCAATGTATTATGTGCTTCATTAAAATGAACACTTCACTATAACAAACCCAATGTATTATGTGCTTCATTATAGTGAACACTTCACTATAACAAACCCTAATGCATTATGTGCTTCATTATAGTGGACACTTCACTATAACAAACCCAATGTATTATGTGCTTCATTATAGTGGACACTTCACTGTAACAAACCTAATGCATTATGTGCTTCATTATAGTGAACACTTCACTGTAACAAACCCAATGCATTATGTGCTTCCTTCATTATAGTGAACACTTCACTTTAACAAACCCTAATGTATTATGTGCTTCATTATAGTGAACACTTCACTGTAACAAACCCAATGCATTATGTGCTTCCTTATAGTGAACACTAAACTGTAACAAACACAATGTATTATGTGCTTCATTAAAATGAACACTTCACTGTAACAAACCCAATGTATTATGTGCTTCATTATAGTGGACACTTCACTATAACAAACCCTAATGTATTATGTGCTTCATTATAGTGAACACTTCACTGTAACAAACCCAATGCATTATGTGCTTCATTATAGTGAACACTTCACTTTAACAAACCCTAATGTATTATGTGCTTCATTATAGTGAACACTTCACTGTAACAAACCCAATGTATTATGTGCTTCATTAAAATGAACACTTCACTATAACAAACCCAATGCATTATGTGCTTCCTTATAGTGAACACTTCACTATAACAAACCCTAATGTATTATGTGCTTCATTATAGTGAACACTTCACTTTAACAAACCCTAATGTATTATGTGCTTCATTATAGTAAACACTT